GGGACTCTGCTAGGGCACATCAAAAAGTTATATATATACACACATATATACTGTATATATAATTAAATAAAACTGTTTTGCTACTCTGTATGTTGTATTATTATCTTTGTTCATCACTAAACCAATAAATCCTCCGGTTTTTTGATTGTAACCTCAATCATCACAAGGCGCCTGAGTTTTAAAGAAGAAAACTACTTAAACCCATAAAGTCTTGTGCACTGAGCTTCACAGCTGGGATGAAGTTTTACTGTTGGTGTGGAATACCAGTAATATTGCTGGTCTAAATGCTAGCTTTAACACTCAACATGTTACTATTGTGGTAATTTTCTATGTTTTGCATATTTCTAACCTATGATCAACAACTTCCCCAATGTGTGTGTGTGTTGCTAAATTCTTACTGAATTACACAAAATAAAACCATAAACATTTTTAGAGACATCTGAATGTGAGATGAGATATGTTAAAGTGGAAAATGTAAGAAGTAGAGAAACATACCCAATTGTTATTATGAAAAGGTGTATTTCATTCCAAAATACAATATTTTCCTGAACATAAACATAAGCTTTTGGAGGCTAAACCTAAACTATCTACAACTCAAAATCAAGATAAATAATAAAGAGGAAAAATAAAAAAAAATAAGTAGAATTGTGGCTTGTTACTCTTGAAAAGCTAAAGAGTAAGAAGCCATTATGAATGTGAGTTGCAGTTAAATATTTCTCCTGTATGTCATTATTGCCCAGTAGCTTCTAAATAGGAACTATGTTGATAAATAGATTCTAATATCCAGAAAGAAAAACTAAAAAGTGAAATTCAAAGAAGGGAAAGTGAGCTAAACTGTAATGCCAAATGATTCTAACCAAGTATGGAGGAAGAAAGTGTGCCATCAGTAAATCATTTTATTTACCAGTAGTCTATTTCTTCATAAAGTATGAACAATACTACAGCTTGTATGTTATGATTATTATTATGTTATTATAGTGTATATATTAAATATGTGATGTACATAAGGATCTAAGATATACCGTATTTTCCGGCCTACAAGTCGCACCTTTTTGCCTAATTTGCATACCCTGCGACTTATACGTCAAAGTAACTTATTTATGTTTTTTCCCCATATTTATAAACCAAGTTTGGAGTGAGATATGACCATTTTCATTCATTTTGACTGAAAATATTGTAGAATGCCATTTTCAGCTGCTAGATAGCACTCGAGTAGTTAAGCATGCCATTGAATCAGAGCCAGAGGTTGCAGTCCAGTCTGTAGGACTCAAACAGAACAGAACCTATCCAGGTAAATACTGCTTATTGGGCTCAGTTAGATGTGACATAACGGCCAAGAACAGGGACATTTCAGTCAATCAGGGCCAAATGGTAACAAGACAAAGATTTCCAGATGAAAGTAAACAGAGAAAAAGGTCTTGTCTGCATTACGTTTTAGCCTTGGTAAGCCATTGTTTTGCTAGGCCCAGGGCAGTGCTTTGGCCTGGATAAAGCGTAGAGGCTGTTTATGCATGCCACCTTGTGCAGAAGTGCTGAAGTGACTGGCATAGTCATTGTCAATTTAGATGCCACTGAAGGGCTCTGCCTAGTTTTCCAAATGCTCTGCCAGCATTTCCTTTGGCACTGAACAGGTCTATGGCATCAGACACTCCAAAGTAGAGGAAGGGGGAAAAAACAACTGGCAGCTGCAATCAACTTGTCTGGCAAAGAGAAATGTTTATTAAAAGTTTTATTTTTTTTTTATTTATTTTTTTTTCTGTTATGATTTGACTTTTTATGTAAAATCCAGTTTAGCAAAGCAACTTGCTGCACGTGTGAGATTGGCACAAAATTTAATTTTTACAGAAGTCAGCACATTTGATTCCAGTAGTTTTGCAGGCACATTGTCAAAAGCTGCATTATGCAAAGAACTGATGATTAAAAAGTCAAGCTCTTCAGAAGTTTATTGCGGATTTGTTTTTATATTTAAGAAAGTGAGAAGTTTGATATGTTTTACCATGTCATGGAATGTAATGTTTTGTGCATACTTTGCCAAAAACTATTACATTTCTCTTTTAAACACATCAATATGACTTTGTTGCAATGTTCTGCATTAAATGACCCCCAGAACAGAAAAAAAAAAAGCATGGTGTTTGGCAAGTAACTAATTGTAACATGGGCAGCAATATATTTTGCAGCCTAGTAGTGGGAAGGGTGGGGGGAGATAAGGATTAATTGCGGGCAAACATACAGGTTATTTACCCCTTAAGTACTTTGTATGTTACAGGAGGGGTTATATGACTAGTAGAAGGGGTTCTGGAAATGATGCGAGCAGCTGAGTTTTGAAACAGTGGAAATCATGGATGGATTTTGTAAGTAAACCAAAAATAAAACAGATCCAGAGTGAACCAGAATGACGGTACTGTTGGGTGAGAGGAATGGACGAAGACGAAAGATATTACGGAGGTGAAAGTAGGCTGAAAGAGTCATGTTATAGATATGAAATTTAAATAATGTGTTGTCTAAGATGGCAATGCATATAAATATCAAAGATTTGTTTAAAGATACAGTAACTGTTCTATAATACAGTTGGTTTTGACACCTGAATGTATGTAAATCATTAAAATAACTATCAAATATTTAGAAAGAGGAAATTATTAGTAAAGTCTTAAAATATAGTATTTGACAGTGGACGTATTACTATGTATGGTCATGTTAGTTTATTGTTTCTTATGAATTCTATTTGATAGAAATACAAAACCCTGTTCAACATTTTTCATTTAAAGTTTTTGGCTCAGGCATGGGTCGTCCACTGCGAAGGTCGGTGGTTCGACCTTAGCTGTACAAATCGACTGTGAATTAATTGGTTAATTTATCTTTCAGAGGTTTGAAGTACAAAACCTCTAAAATTGTTATCTGAAATTATTTTCGATCCATCAAAATATCTAAAACTTTTCTAGAAATGAGTTGAATTTAGATTTGTGGAGACAAATAGTGTAGTGTGAGAAAAACAGATGTCTCCTCTAGTCCATTAAAACGAGACATGTTTGTTTGTTTGATAAATGAGAGTCATTGCATTTGAATGATCTCCAACACCATTTGTAACAAGATTGATTTAGCACATAGCTCTCTGTAAAGGGCTTATCTTTGCAGGAGTTGACAACCAAAGTAAATTGAACAGTCTTTACCTGCATTGACTTCCAGTAACCTCCTCTTCTTCTGCTGTCTTTCCTGTTTTTCACGCTCAGCCTTCTCCTTCGCTGCTCGCGCTCGCTTCTGTTTCTCCTCTAACTCTCGGCGCCTGAAGTTTTCCTTCAGTGCTTGCTGTGAGAGAAGGAGAAAAGAAGCGATGAAAAGAGAGGAGAAAACATGACAGATTGCTAAGTTGGGTTAATTACAGTGGTGTAGAGGCTGTCAAAGGCAGAGTCAGCTGTCAAACTGCACAGACATCTTTATCAGGCACTATTCAAGTCAGATGACGTGTCTAAGGTGCTCTGTCACTACGGTCTCCAGACATAAAAAGACTTCACAGCAGGGACTTCAGACACTAGAGAGCCATAGAGCTGATGGAAAGATAGAAATAGGTAGAGGCTGATCTTTTCATAAACATTTATGTCTATTTGAAGCTTGTAATAAACAAAACATGTTCCTTTTTATGATTACTTTTACTGCTTTGAGCTTTCTCTTTTCAGTATTTTTCACTTTACACCATTATAGAATCATTTGACAGTCATTAAATTTCCAATTCCAATATATATACACAT